GAGGAACAAGGTGAAAGATTTCACCAGGATATTAAAACTATGGAGGACCGCTACCAAGGAAGATGGGATACACACATGATGGCAGATTACTGCTGGAGTTTAAAAAGGGACTGTTCTAAAATACATTCAAGAAAGTCACGAAAAAGAAGCTTCCGTAGTGTTCCGTGACTATAGTTGGTTTGACTGTTATATATAGTCGATGATTTTTTCCTCTATCTTTGTATTTAATATAATAAAATAAAAATATAATTATAATATAGTAATAAAAATTCCATGTTGAGTTTTTTTATTTGATCCACTGATTTAACTTAAAATAGTGTAACGTATATTTCACCAAAATGTTATATCTTAAAAATTTGAGCTCCTAGGCAAAAACTAATGCCATATTTGAATTCAGGGCATCAAATTCATATGAAATCAGCTCCAAATACCCCGGCACCAAAACAGCTGTTGGCCTGTGTAATGAATGTATTTTTCGTCCATTATTTTCATCGTAAACTCTAAAACATTTTTCTTACACGTACTTTCTTGCTGTCTTCTTCTAGTATTGTACTTTTGGCAGTTACTCTCAGAGCAAACTGCATTAAGTGGTAAAGCTTTTGACTTGTATTCGGGATGTGTTTAGTTCAAGTCTTGGCCTTGACACCGACTTGGTTAACCAAAGTATTTCCTGATTTTCCTCACATCCTCCCAGCACGCGGTAGCCTAGTTGGTTGAGGCACTATGCTACAAGTCGGAACGTCGCGGATTCAGGTCACAATGAAGTCACTGGATTTTTTTTTCAGTTGACCTAAACCTTCTAGCCGCGCTATGGCTCTGGGGTCGACTCAGTCTCTTTTAATATTCTTGGGGGTAAAGGGCGGCCGGCGCGTAAGGCTGACAACCTTGCCGCCATCTTTGAGCCGATTGTCTAGATAATGTGGGACCCTCAACGTCTCACAACACTATGGGCCTTCATGGCCTGTTACAGGGATAGCTTTACTTACTTACTTACTTACTTTTTCTTTCCCCCTTGGCACTACAGCCCCAGAGGGCCTAAGCTTACCTCCATGAACTTCTCCCTTTACTTCGGTTTTTCTAGATCTTAGACATACGGTAGGGCTCCTTGGGCGGGCGATTAGCTCGTCGCAAGGCCTCTACCTGCACACAAACACAGGAAAACCACACACAGAAACTAAACATCCATGCCCTGAGTGGGATTCGAACCCACGATCCCGGCTTCCGAGTGAGCGAAGACAGTGCACGCCTTAGACCGCTCGGCTACCGTGACCGACACTTACTTACTTACCTCCAGTTTAACTATGGAATGCTAACTTATATTAGGCCATTAAGTTCCAATTTATTATGCAGTGTCATCCAACCATTTGACGTTATATTGTCCAAGTTACTGATAACGCCGTTAAAAATCTACAGAGAAAACGTAGTTTAAGAATATTTTCTGGAACACTTTAGTACAAACAAATACTTGTGTTCTTCACTACTCTTTTCTTTTCTTGAGGTGTTTATTGAGCTCTAATCAGAACCACCAACACAGTCGAGAAGAAGGACAAAGCGAGAAAGATACGCACTTGATAATCTGGACTATGAGTATTATTTCTGAGAAGGAGATAAATGGAAGACTGTTTATATTTATTTCCGCTAATGAGGTACATAAAGATAAAAACATTTCAACATACCTGCAAGACGGTTCCAGATGGAAACACCATGGCACGACGTTCCCGCCGTGATGGCATGGCATTATTTGCTTCATGCTTCAGGGTGAGAATTGTAGCAGGCAGGAACATGGTGAGGACTGCGACGAGCAGACACGCGCCGGCCAACGGCATCTCGTGGCCTCTCAACTAATTCTATATATTGACCGACTGCATAGCCAGAGCGAAAACGGGAACTGTAATTTACGTTTCCACTTAAGCTCAATACTGACTTACCGCAAGCAAAGCCGTGCTTTTTTGCATGGTAAATACAAGTATAATAGGCGGTGTGCCCAGTTCATTGCAGTGGCTTCTTATTGTTACATTAATCTGATGACATAAGTGTTAAAGCATCCGGGTAGAGGAGACAGATACAGTCTGTGGGAAAGTCATTGTCCAAAAATAAAAGTACTAAAAATTATACTCTCCAGTTATTTTGCCATAATATGGAGTAAACCTTTTAAAATGATTTTTTGCAGTGTTATAATATTATTTCCTGTCTAGAAAACTGAGATTAACGGCCGTGGGGACCCGTTGTGCTGACCACGTGAAACCCTTTGTCAGCAAAAGTTGGCACTAACTTCCCCGACAAGCGACGGTCGCTCGGTCGGTATAGTTCCTTTGCGGATTACAGGCCACGGAGTTTGTTTTTGTTTTTTGCTTTGTTATAATATTATTAGTCTTTGTGTTCGTTCCTTGCTGGTACAAACTTTGCGTAAAAATTTTAACACGATTAAGAACACAATATAAGTTATTTAAATGCTTCTATAACTCTCTTGCTTCAGCTACTCCTTCATTCCTGTATCCTATTCGTATCAAGTGATTTTAAAGCCTTGGCTCAATAATGTACGCTACACACGTTAAATAGCATTCATTTCCCTTGTTTTTTCAATAAGACTTATTTAAAATATCAAAATCGATTACTCATAAAATGTGTTGCTTACAAATTTATGAACAGTAATAACATAAATAAACAAAAAGAATTAGTTTCTTTGCGTTGTAGACAAATATACTGTTGCGTGCTTCCTAGATAACGAGTCAAGGAATGATAATTTATTTATAATAATTTATAATAACTCCCAGTAACGCCTTCAGACGTTCCCACTTCAATGGCTATACTCCTGCACGCTATTCGCGGTGAAGCCTTAATTCTTGGTTCTTCCCTTACGGCTTGTAGGATACCAACTATTCTGGGTTTCCGTTGTTCGTTCTCCAACAGTTTCATCCGTTCCCTTCTTAAGGTTGCTCGTCCCGAGTAGCTCCATGATAAGGCGCGAGACGGTCCTGGTGTACTACCAACATCCTCGACCTAAGGTTCTTCTGGATTCTGGATTCTGTATTCCACGTCGTTATCTGGGTGACTACCTTGTAAGGGCTTTCCCACAAGGATTGAAGTTTTGGTAATTTCTCTTTCCTCCGGACTGGGCGATAGAGCCAGACTCTGTTGCATAATCGGTTGTGGGTAGTCCCTTTTTCTAGCTGCAGTGGCCGGTGTTTCTAAATTACTGGCTTCCGCTGTGTTCTCCAGTTCGGTACTTTATTTTGCTTCGGAAAGGGTCGACCCCTTCATAGTGTCCAGTGTTTGCTTCTTTGAAATGGGAAAGGAGATCCGGAAAATTTGCTTCGCGATTTATAGCCCCTTTGTCTTCCTGAGGGTCTTGTTAATTCCCTCTTGCTTCCAAGCTGTAGCTGGTCCTCGAAGTCTCGATTCCTGATTCCCTTGGTGCCTTCCTGGCGTATCAATTGTCTCCATTCGGGATTCCGTCCTCTCCGGGTTCCTCTGGCAAATTTATTTCCCAACTTATTCTTCCTCCGTCCCTGTTCGACGGACGGCACTCCTTGACTGCTTCCCTGAAGCCCGCGCCTCTTGAGCAGCAAGTCATCTTCCTGCCGGCTGCGACCAATCTCTTCCTCCGAGATCCACAAGCTCCTTGAGTAAGTCCCTTCTTGACTCTGTCTCTCCTGCAATGGGACACCTTCCGTCCCTACGCCGCTTCCTCGGTCCTCTGACCGGCATAACTGCGGCTCCCTTTTTGGGGACCTGTTGTGTCGCCTCAAGTTCCATGTCCACTGAGGTAGGCTCCTCCCACTTCGGTCGTGCGATGGTGCTTTTCAGTTTGGCTTGACTCGCGTCCATCTTTGCCGTCATTTGTTCTTGATTAGCTCTCATTTCACTTATAGCTTCACCGTGGGATATTCTATCTGTCTCTTCCTTTTCTTGGTGGGATTTCATGTCTTCCCGCATGGACAGCAAGAGTTCCATCACTCGCTCCATTTTAGGCAATCTTCTGTTCAACAGTTGCTTCAGGCGACCAACACCGATCCCACTTCTGACACCAGTTGTCGCGTGTTTCCTAGGTAACACATTGCTGCTCGGCAACGGATATGGTGTATTGTTATCAGGCATGTCTACAAATGCAATGCCTAGGGCCGCGCCATAGTTCAAGCGGTTAGTCGCTGACTTCCCACGGTGGCGGCCCGGGTTCGAGCCCGGGTCTGGTGAAGTGGGATTTGTGGTGGACAAAGTGGCTCTGGGGCAGGTTTTCTCCGAGTACTTCGGTTTCCCCTGTCAATCTTCATTCCACCAAATTCTCCAGCATTATAATCACCCGGGGCAGACTACAATAGGTCAATCAGTGGCCGCCTTGCCGAGTGGACACAGTTTGGCTCCACCACCCACTAAGACAATTAAAGAAAATAATTAATGCAATGCCTAGCAATGAACGCCCTATTTTTGAGCATTCGTTGCTGTGGGAACTCAACAATTCGGTCCCCGTTGCTTAAGCACTTCCTAGGTAACGGTCTCTTTATGTTTCTTTACCTAGGAATAGGTACCCGTTGACCAGCAATGGACGTTCTACAGTCCAGACTTCCCGTCGGCACCCCACACTACTATACAAGCATTGTCACATTATCTCTGACAGATATTAAATGTGTTTTCCTATGTTTCCTTAAATACTCACAACATCAGAGTATACTTAAAATATTATTTGTACTTATAAATTATATTTATATTTTATTAATTTTTTCAAATATTTGAATGGAGAAAATTTTAATATAACATATTTCACATACAGTAATTAATGTAGGGACTGAGGTTCTTGCACGGGGATTTATTAAGTGTTTTATCCTCTGAAATATAAAGCCCTCTAGTCAAGTGGTTCTCAACCTTTTGTGACCGCGGCCCGGTGAATTCTTTTTTATAAAATGAGGGCCCGATATAATTGATTGCAGGGCCCAGTACTGGGTCGCGGCCCGGCGGTTGAGAAACACTGCTCTAGTTAAATGAAAGCAGGCAGTAAGCATAGCTACATTTGCTGCATTATTTGTGTCGGTTTCTTGCTTGACCTTTCTTTTAATTTGCCTAGTGGGGGGGTGTGGAGTCCAACTGGGTCCACTCGGCACGGCGGCCATTGATTGGCCTATTGTAGCCTGCCCCCGGTGATTATGATGATGGAGAATTTGGTGGAATGAAGATTGGCAGGGGAAACCGAAGTACTCGGAGAAAACCTGCCCCAGCGCCACTTTGTCCACCACAAATCCCACTTGATCAGACCCGGGCTCAAACCCGGGCCGCCGCGGTGGGAAGCCAGCGACTAACCGCTTGAGCTATGGCGGGACCTTCTTGCTTGACTTACTCTCCAACCCTGAAGATTGATACGGTATATTCCTCCGAAATGTGACTTGACTTACACCAAACTGCCCGGCCTTATATCAGAGAAGACAGAACTCTTCATATTATAAGAAAATTTCAATTAATTCTAGAACGTCCAATGTAGATCTGCATCGCCAAGCATGATCGAAATATGATCAGTTGTTTCAAAGATAAAGCACGAAGGCACAGACATTATCTGAATATCGTGTGTTCATTTTGCATGCTCTGCTTAAAGAATTCTGACTGATGTCACTTTGCTAAGACATGTCGTCTTTGAAACATCAAAAATGGGGCCCACTGAAATAGCATCCAGATGGTAGGTTCCTTGAGCCTTGAAAGCTGATTCACGAGATACTTTCTTCTTGCACTTTCAGTCTCTCCGCTGTTGTCTCCACTAAAAAAAAATTTTATACCTTTCGGAGTTCTGGAAAATATTATTTTCTTGACAGTTTAAATTCAGTCGATCGACTGTAAATACGTGTAATAAGTGATTTTATATATCATTTCCTTACGTTAACTTAATGGAAGTTCATTCAAAGTTCAAGTCCAAAAAAAAATAAGAAAGGCTTTTAGTGAGGTTCATCGTCAGTAAGTTACATAAGAAGAGTCTGAACAGGGAGATTTAAGATAATGAATAACAAATTCCTGTAAGAATTCAAATATTCAAAGAGATTGAGAAGAAAGCAGCCTTCTGGGATGTGGAGTCGTGAAGATATTGTGCTGACCGACGTTTCGGAGGAACATATCGCCTCCATCTTCAGGGTAGAAGAAGAAAGATAAAAAACTCCGCGAGTGAGGAACCAGCGCGAGCAGGTGATCACAGAATAAATTTCCTCGCTCGCGGAGTTTTTTCTTTTTTTTCTTATACCCTGAAAATGGAGGGGATACGTTCCTCCGAAACGTCGGTCAACATAATATCTACATGGCGCCACATCCCAGAAGACTGCTTTCTTCATAGTCACCGTCGTGAAAACCTCAAATCTTAAATTCAAAAGACTGTTTAATTTTAACAAACGTAGCATTCCTCGTGAATAACAAATTCGGTTGCCATTACCCTTATATAAAATACAAATTTCACAACATTTGTTTATATATTATATTATTATGAGTTCATACATATTATAAACGAAAACATGTAAATATAATTCATGATTCTTCTAAAGGATATAACCATTATTAATCTAGCTGGATATGAAATCTAGTGGTGACTGAGGACAATCAGCATACCGGAAGCCACAGTCACCGCCTGACCTCCCAAATCTTTCAGCAGCCAAATAAGGAATGTCCCCAAGAGGGCATTTTGTAGAGTCATAGCCGTCAATGCAATCCAAATCTGCATCGGACATTTCTGAAGATGGCCTGTAAACAGTCACACAGAATTATGTAAGAAAATATCTTTGAAAATTCTGTTTACACTTCCTCAAGAAAGCATATTCCCATTCTTAGGTATAAGGAAAATCTTAAATCTTCAACATAATCTAACGTGTAAGATTTGAGGCTTTCACGGAGGTGACTATGAAGAAAGCAGTCTTCTGGGATTTCGCACCGTGTATATGTGGTGTTNGTGACTCCCAATTCTTAGGTTATTGAAGATATTGTCAGTTACGTAGTGCCTAATGGAAGGTCATTATAACTAATGAGTATGGAAGATTTGGGAATAAAACAGTCGTGGTTTATCCAGCAATTTTCCTGAATGACTGACAAAAATATCACTCATTCAGCATAATTATTAGCTCCGGAGTCAAATCCAAAATCAATGTAATTGTGTTGACGAGTATATAAAATTCTTATATTTAATAGTAGCCATGTCGAGGAGCTCCATAACATGTACTCTTTTCCAAATATAATTAGAATGACCAAGTCAAGGAGGATGAGATGGGCTGGGTATGTAACACGAATGGAGGAAAGGAGGAATGCGTATAGGATATTGGTGGGAAAGCCAGAAGGAGTGAGACCACTGGGAAGACCAAGACGTGAGTGGACAATATTAAAATGGATCTTAGAAAGGAAGGGATGATATAGATTGGATTGATCTAGCTCAGGATAGGGACGAGTGGAGGGCTCTTGTGAACACGGTAATGAGCCTTCGAGTTCCATAAAAAGCTGGGAAGTTCTTGAGTATGTGCACAATTGGCAGCTTCTCAAGAAGGGCTCAGCTCCGTGAGTGAGTGAGAATAGTAGCCATGGNGAAAGCAGTCTTCTGGGATTTCGCACCGTGTATATGTGGTGTTAACCGACGTTTCGGAGGAACGTATCGCCTCCATCTTCAGGGTAGAAGAAAAAATATAAGAAATCTGCAAGCGATTGCAGTTTTATACAGTTCTTGTTCTTATTACAATAACTGAATGTTTCCCTAACTTAATCCTTCCATGAACCCCTCTCTTGAAATGCCAATATAAAGAAAATGCAAATTTTCTGGAAATCTATCCCATAGTTTTCCTTCTGTCTTTTCTCTCTCCTTGACCTTACAAGGAAACGTCCATTTACACAGCCTTTTATAAGCTCTTTGCATTCTGGAAATAAAATAAACTGTTCATTAAACAAAGAATTTGGAACAGGATAAAAGTGAGTTTTCTGATACCAGAAATCACCACCAATTTACTGTTATAATAAATTTTCAGGCCGGTATAATAATGGAATTACGAATTCTAATAGAATCTTATCAAACTAATTATAATTAATTTTCATTTCATGCATCCTGTTGTGTTACAATATACAACCTCTTTATCATAGCCCTCACAACACAACTAATATCAAGATCAGATCATTTTCGGCCCTGCTACACGTTTCGGCTATATATTTTTATATATTTTAATAATATTGTATCCAATTTTGTGGGTGCTGCGGTTCAGTGGTGTGTATGTGTGTGTGTAAATCATGTGTTTGCCTGATGATGGCTATCAATAGCCGAAACATGTAGCAGGGCCGAAAATGGTCTGATCTTGATATTAGTTGTGTTGTGACGCATATGACAAAGAGGTTAACTATAAATATTTTAATGTATTGGAACAGCTGCTGTAGTTGTATAGACTTTAGATTTTACAGCGAATTGTATATTATTTATATTGTATATATATATTTTAACTTTTAGAACATGAACTGTAATAGTGGCTTCTAACTGTATTGCTGTAAAGGTGTCCCTCTGAAGATGGTCTCTGAAGACCGAAACATGTAAGGGTATGAATAATTGAAATAAGAAAAAACCTTAACTAGTCACACTGGACGGAAGTGTTTAATTTTTTATAGTAGTGGAAATTCATTTTGTAGCTAAACGACTGGTAGCTTCTTTACGCGTATTCTGCTTCGTTGTCTCTCTTACTGCAATGAAAACTATGATCATTACAAATCTGCCTTTCCCCTGTCACATGGTCGACTGCAAGAAGCTACGCATCCCCACATTTTGTCTGTGGGCCACAGCTGAGAGCCACTACTCTCAGCTGTGAGGTTAACATACGTCAGTAGGGCGTGGGCTATCTCTTCCAGTAATCCACTGTCCTCATGGCTGAACGGTGAGTGAGCAGCCTCGCAAATACTTCTCAGCATACACGTTCTGCCATCGAACCCATATTCCTGCAGAAAAGCTTGGAGCGGCAGGTACATGGACCGCAGAGCTTCCCCGATTTCACGCCTGGAGCGTGCCACGTTTTGCTGCCGAAATTCTGTTGCATTTGTAGGTAATACGAAATTGAGCTGAAACCCTACAGATATCGCCAGAGTCGCGTTCGGAACTTGAACTGGGGTCTGGACGGCAATGTTGATCTGTAAAGGAGACAAAGCACAATTGCAACTAGTGTCTGCACATCTTAACTCAGTGGAGCCTCTTTCTGAAACAGGTTACAATTGTTCAACTCTACCTGCAGTTTCTCTGTTCTTAAATAATACGGTATTACGTCACCAAATTCCAACAAATTCCCAACCAGATACTTGGGGTTACAAATTATTTTCAAGCCAGGTGGGAAGCCAGCGATTAACTGCTTGAGCTATGGCGCGGTCAAAATCAGGAGTTACTGGGCTGAATGGCTGAATGCAACATATTATTCTCTAGTATACGATAATGGTATCCAATTATTATTTATTAAGAGAAAGAAGTTAAGAAAATGCAAAACCATATTTCATGGGTACTAGGAAGTCTCTACTATAATACAAGTAGAGAAAATCGTGTATTTGTCCATGTCGGCCGCGCCATAGCTCAAGCGGTTAGTCGCTGACTTCCCACGGCGGCGGCCCGGGTTCGATCCTGGGTCTGGTCAAGTGGGATTTGTTGTGGACAAAGTGGCGTTGGGGCGGGTTTTCTCCGAGTACTTCGGTTTCACCTGCATATCTTCATTCTACCAAATTCTCCATCATCATAATCACCCGGAGCAAGTACAATAGGCCAATCAGTGGCCGCCGTGCCGATTGGACTCAGTTGAACTCCACCCCTCAATGTGCGAATTTAAAATTTTTATGTGTCCATGTCTTTGTGTTGTAAATAAGAAAACTTCTAACACAATGTAGTTAATAAATCCTCCTAAAATATGGTAAAGTTGAAATAATAATTTGAAATTTAATTTCAGAATCATATGAAGAGCAGATTAATTTTTTTGGAATGCTTCATAAACAACTAAGGATAATTTGACTTTCTGTCCCTTATGTGAAAATATTAAGAATAAAATAAAATAAGCTCACATGTTGTTCATGTACGTGTGATACTGGGTAATTCACCCTATGTGAAAACATAACTAGTTTTATTTGAGAACAGGGCGCTGATGAGTGTGCTTAGACTTAAGAAACGGATAGTGAGAACTGCATAAATTGCACTGTCGAGAATTACTGAGGAGATCAATTAAAGAAGGATGAGATGTTCAAGACGAGATGCATGCATTTGGAAGTGAAACAGACATACACAGTTTTAATCTCAAAATCTGAAGGGAACAAATCATTTCAGAATTAATGGCTTAGATCGAAAATATATTATTAAAATAGATCTCATACAAGTAGGATGCTAAATTTATAGGTTATACTCATCTGGCTCATTGGCGGGTTCTTGTGAAGAGGGTAATGTACCTTCGAATCCCATTAGAGGGGTTGAATTTCTTGGCCAGATTAGCTACTCTCAGTTTGTCAGGAATGAGATGCTCCACTGTGTTGCTTCTTTCTAAATCATTATTATGAGGATGCACAACGTAATTTTTGACGCATTTAACGCGGTTATTTCTACTTGACCCATTTAATTAAATCGTAACAACACTGTATTTTTTCCCCTTTGGAGTTACAGCCCAAATTTGGTGGGCCTTGGCCTACCTACATAAAATTTTATGTTTCACTTCGGTTTATTAGATCTTAGACTTTCGGTAGGACTTTCGTGCGGGTGATCAGCTGGTCTCACGGTCCCTAAATGTACATAAACATAGAAAAACACAGACACACGCAAACACTGAACATCCATGCCCTGATTGAGATTCAAACTCACGATCCCAGCTTCCGTGAGAGCGAAGACAGTACATGCCTTAGACCGCTCGGCTACCGTGACCGGCAATGATTCTGGTTAGGGCTACAAAAATATTGAAGGCCATAAACCTGTTTTCCTTTTCGCTCATGCTTTATGAATGCTACATTTCCGATAATGCGTTTGCCTTCCTTGTCTTCATGTTCCCAGAGTGGGCAGTGCTCAATGTGAAAGAAGAGAAGGAACGAGAGAGGGGCGGAGAGTTGATAGATTTGACTTTACTTAGATTACCAAATTTTTCAGAAGCGAGCTAATTTCTTTGAATTTAGACAGATTTGTTTATAAATTGGTTTATACAAAATTATAATTTTACCCATGATTTTTATGGACTCTGACTTTAAGGGAAGAAAATAGACTGAGGGTGTTTGAGAACAGGCGCTGAGGAGACTATTAGGACCGAAAATTGAGTTATATGAACTGTTCTTCAAGTACAATTAGAATGATCATGTCAAGGAGGATGAAATGGGCAGGGCATGTAGCACGGATAAGGGCGCAGAGGAATGCATATAGGATATTGGTTGGTAAGTCAGAGGGAAAGAGACAACTATGAAGACGAATATGTAGGTGGGTGGATATTGTTAAAATGGATCTTAGATAGAATGGGGTAGTATGGACTGGATGGATAAGAAGGGCTTTTGTGAGCACGGTAATGAAACTTCGGGTTCCAAAATTGCTGGTAAATCCTTGAGTAGCTGCACAATTGGCAGCTTCTCAAAAAGGTCTCAGCTCCATGAGTGAGTGAGTGAATGTGTTCTCTTTCTAATTATTATAGCACTTGAAAGGCAGTAGACTTCAAAAAATTGTTACCGATAATCCTACTGTTATCACTCCCTCTGTGTATACAACTCTCTGTTCAACTACTGTCCCGGATAATACTTACACTTACTGGCGTTAAGTGAGAGCAACACGTGCAACGCACCTGAAACACTGTCCCGGATGGAAAAACCAGTAGAGGGTAAATGAGGTCACGGCGTTCCCGATGGTGACCCAGCTCCAGATCATTGTGCTTTCTCGTCGAAAACATGAGGATCATAGCGCAGAGTGCCGTAGCTGTGAGAAACAGTTTACACAGAGCCCACATGACTTGTGACATCTGGGCACTAGCACTGCATACCATGTGTTGTTGCAGTCAGAGCTACGCCCTTTTCTTATGTAAACGAACCAGCAAATTTGAGTTCGGGCACAATTAGTCTGTTGTTACTGAAAGAGCAGTAAACAAATATCCTTCACTGTAATTTAATATTGTAATTATTGTCACGTGTTGGGTATGTCACGCGACAAATAACTTCACGCCGTTCTTGATCTAGCGAATTATTGCACATTCGCTCTTACATTTATACAATTCACAATTACACAAGTACTGCCATTTGGAGTATCACAAATACTTCTCCTATAGTCACTGACATTCACTCCGGCGAATGCTAGACTGCAACTGACTGGTTACTCTCTCTCACTGACGAATACTCCTGTTATGCAGCTTCCGCACTGATATCACAGAAAACAGTTACGTGATAATTTTCACTGTTGCGTGAACGTTCATCGTTTATTTGGGTCTGTCTTCGTGGGAACTCGTTCCACCTCCCGTTGCCCAGTAACGGTTAGACATGTCATATTATGTTAGAGAAGCACTGGCGATTTATGAAATCGAAGATTAATTTAACTAAAATATTTATTTCTTCTTTAATAAAGACTCAGTTTTTAATATAAAATTCATCTAATTTACTGATAGATTCGTTTCTGCCTAGCAACAAAGCCATCCAATTCACATCCTTACTGTTATCTCATTTAAATACATTATAATGTTTCCCTTTAATCTGTTCCTCAGAATTCAAACACATGTTTTCTAAGATATTTCCTTATCAAAATTATCTGCTCATATTATTGTCTTCCTGAGGTACATTGTCAGTTGAAAAAACCTTGAAATATCTTTAGAACTAATGTCTCTTTTTTCCAATTTTGTGCACTTAATAAGCAAATTCAGGGCGTTCAATCGAGGAGGAAACTTCGCAACACCGTTGACGGAGCTCAGTATTCCTCACAGATTGCTGCTGTAACTGTAACGGCGCGCGTTTATCAGCGCTAATGACTCATTCTGCTATCAGCAGTTACAGCAGCAATCTGTGAGGAATGTTGGGCTGGCTCAGCGTTGTTGCGAAGTTTCCTCCTTAACTTAACACACTGTAGGTTGACTAATTGATACATGTTTAAACAAAGACTACAGTAAAGCCCGTTTGTTTAAATATTTTTCTAATGCATTTCTTGTTCAGAATGCTCTGACGTAATGAGGTACTTTGTCGCTATTTCGTTTCAACTTTCTTTCACAATAAGACATTAGGAAGATCGAAAGAGATCGGGTGAAAATGGAATTTAAAGGAATATATCGGCGCCATTTTCAGTACTGCTGTACTTTAATTTATTGGGTAAACATGAGATGAAAACACAGAATAACTATGGAGAGGCTAGTAAGGAATCTGGCCTATAAACAAAAACAGAGGCTTTACAACTGTATAGTTTCGAGAGAATGCACAAATATTTCATAATACAGAAATAAAGGTAATAAATCTTCGAAAGATGGCATTCAAATAGCTGAGAACGACAACAGTATATTAGAATTACAAAGAAGCAATTAAGAAATATTTCAGTTTAAGAAATGCTTGCAGTCATTCAGTTCACCGTATCCTGGCTAAAAAAAATACAAACATTAAAATATACTAAACTACTATTTTACCTGTTGTTTCCATAGATGTGAAATTTGGTCTTTTGGCATAACGGCAGAAATTCGTTGCAGTTTGAAAAAAGAATGGTGAGAAGAATACTTGGGCAGAAAGGAGAGTCAGGAAGGAAAGGAAGAAAAATTTTCATAAGGAACAATTTCATAATTTGTCCCTCTTTTCACTATTTTGATGAAATGAAGTAATGAGAAACTAGTGAAACATGTCCATGTGGAAGAGACATGAAAAGCATACACAGAGCAAGCCAATATATTGAATAAGAAGTAGCGGAGAGATATCAAAGGGTGGTCCCCTAGATTCTGGGTTGGGCATGGGACTAACAACTCTACACCGTAAATAAACGTGTTACGAAAATGTTCAGTAAGCCTCGGACCTGGACGGAGTCTGTGGATAAACGACCTAAGCATCGATATATATTAGCAAGGAAAACTTTTATTTCACAACCTGCTGTCAAACACCATGACAGCAAGCATCTGAAATGAAGATGTTCTCCACACACACATATCAGAGCATACTTATGAACAGTAACTGCGCTTCGCACGCACTTCCACTGTTTAAGACTCAAATCTGAACCATATTCTGATTATTATTTTGCTTACTATAATTCAAGATTATAAAAAATCTCCAGGAATCCTGTTTTCGAGGTGACAGCGCCGGAGATTTGTATATACCCAGACGCACCGCTCTATGGCTCTCCTGTGCCTCTCCGTTGCTGCCGAAAGCCTGGAGAGAAATATATGGCAATATACAGGAAACAATAATATTGGAATGAATCCTGAGGAAACAGAAGGCGCGAAGCCGGACTGCAGTCACGTGGCTCAGAAAGGGACCCGCGGCGGTCTGTCGTGAAAAATGTGCTAAAGTCAGTGGGTTCCATAAAAGACGGGCAATTTCTTTATCAAGTGAAAAATTCTTAGTTTCTCCAGAGGAATTCTTTTCCATGGAGAATGGGAAATTTATGAATGTCTATCAATGTGTATTGTAGTAATATCTTACGAACCATGTGACTCTTTACTGATAACAAAACAAAAGACAAACTCCGTGGCTTTAGTCAGCAAGCGAACTATTCCGACCGAGCGACCGCCGCTTGTCGGCGAAATTAGTGTCCACTTTTACGGACAGAGGGTGTTGCCTGGTCAGCGCATCGGATTCCCGCTGCCGTCAATCTCGGTTTTCTAGACTGGAGCCGCTATTTCCTTGAAATAGCTCCTCAATTATCCTCACGAGGCTGAGTGCACTCCGTTCCAGACCCACTGCTTCTCAGAAAAATCTGGTAGTGCCGGGAATCGAATCCCGGGTCTCTTGAGTATTACAGAATAGAAACTTCCCCTTTCCAAAAATAATATATAACCATGAGAAACGTTTCTTGTATTTGCCACTTTTGCTACAATGTACAGTTTCGGAGAAACGTGATAATGTATATTGCATGACTTAACGAGATTTTTGACACTCCAGTGATATTTTTCGAATAAAAAAAACAAATGGTTCTCCTGGGACTATTTCCCCAAGCGTAGCTTGTTCTGTATTTATCATTAAGCAGCTTAATAAGTCGAAACTTCTGACATAATGCTCAGCATCACAAAGTCTATACAATTAATGTCATTTAAATTATTTGCTTTCATGGAAGAAATGTCGGATATGGACTCGAAATTTGAAAATTCGAGTTAGATATGCCTGCAAATTTAACGATAATTTCTTCGGTCAATTTCTAATCATTTCTTACGTTTTCAGTGAGCTCCCAAGTCGTGCATCCCATTAGAGTCTGGAGTAGAATTCTTTAACATCCTGCAGCTGTGCGCAAACAGGCCTCACATATTTAATGACTTTCTCTGTCTGCATATTTCTCATTTGCATGAATGCCGTCTGCCAGACCATATCTTCTTGTTTGTTACCATTAGATCTTGTACATACTCCTTTCTACCCCAACGAGTATTCCCGTCGGAATAATATATTAGTAGTGTTATCTCAGATGTTCTATGAAATACATTCTGTCAACGTCTTTTAATCTTGTTCTTCTGGTGCAAACCCTTGTACACGTACAGTCATCGCCGATGTTAATTATTTTATGCTCTATTTTGCTTGTCAAAGAGCAGACTTCAGGCTATCCTTTCGAAGTCACATACAAAAAGTTAGTTTTAATATAAATCGAAATTGTCAAGAGAACATTACAGTGCATACTGGAAATATGTGACACGAAACGTTGCATAATATTTAGGGCCTGATGTTTTTGCAACGAGCTATATTATTACAACTAACAAACAAAGTGCATAGCCTAGGCTTTTAGCTTTTCATGTTAGTGACCATTCTTATTATGGTCTCAGGGCCGCGCCATAGCTCAAGCGGTTAGTCGCTGGCTTCCCACCGCGGCGGCCCGGGTTCGATCCCGGGTCTAGTCAAGTGGGATTTGTGGTGGACAAAGTGCCTTTCTCCGAGTACTTCGGTTTCCCCTGCCAATCTTCATTCCACCAATTGCTCCACAATCGCCCTCACCTATCATCTGGGGCTGGTACAATAGGCCAGAAGTGGCCGCAGTACAAGGGACCTAGTCCCACCCTACTGGCAATAAAACAATACTGTTATGGTCTTCTTGATTGTGACACCGTGTAGGCAGATACTGACGTTTCGGAGGAATCTATTGTCTCATTTTCAAGGTCGAANACCTATCATCTGGAGCTGGTACAATAAGACAGAAGTGGCTGTAGTACAAGGGACTTAGTCCCATCCCACTAGCAATTAAACAATACTGTTATGGTCTTCTTGATTCTGACACCGTGTAGACAGATAGTGACGTTTTGGAGGAATCTATTGTCTTCATTTTCAAGGTCGAAGTAAGGACACAATTTGTTATTATTATTACCTATCTTACTGGAATTAAGGATCAGGTTAAAGTCTAGGAATCCAATTTTGAATTCGGTGCATTAACTACATACTGATTGCAAAGATTTATCTGAGACGTAAAAATGTTTATGGAAACGGTTACAGGTTTGCATGAAATTCAGAAAATTTATATGAGAATTATATTCTGGATGTTAACCTTATTATTATAATTCAAACTTAGAAATGAGATCCAGAAGTCCTATTTTGCACTCGGAGTACAGAAGGTGACAGCTGCCGGAGATCTCCGAGCCAAGACGCTCCGCAGCATGGTACTCCGTGTCCAGGTAACTCCTGTGCCCCTCCATTGTCGTAGACGGGCTAGAGAAACAGATGGTCACTTAGAGAAGACAGGATAACCCTTAAAGGAGAGAGCGTAACTGAAACATGAACCCTAATTTTCAAGACAGGTCCGGTAGCATTTGGAGACATTTTGTATATACTTTTGTTCCTCTGAATAAACGTCTTTGCCATAAATTATTACGTGTAATCTTATAAATATGTGTTCCAAGTACAAGTCGTGATATTTTGCTTTGTATTTTTGTTTGTGCCTTATGTATTCCGGTAGGTTCAATGAGAAATCATTTTCGAAATGTCAGAATTTAACAGAATAATGATTTATAACTATACGAAATTATATTCCTCTGTAAAGAAAAGGAAAATATGGCATNATGGCATTAAAATTAAAACTTAATTTTTTTCGTGTGATTGGTATTCATTATGCTGTGGCATGCGCATGCGCAGGTGGTTGAAGAATTATGCTACTAGCCGTAAAGTCGCGGGTTCTATTTCAAATGAGGTCATTGTATTTTTTTACTGAACCAATCCCTTCAGCCGTCCCATGGCCCTAGGTTTGACGCAGTCTCTAACAGAAATGAGTACCAGGGATCTTCCTGGAGATAAAGGGCGGCCGGCCGGCCTGCCTGCGAGTAAGGTTGACAACTTCACCGCCATCTGTGAGCAGTTTGTGTAGAAACTGTGGAATGCTCGAAGTCTCACAAACCTATGGGCCTCCACGGCCTGTTACAGAGATATCTCTACCTGCTTTATATATTTGTTACATTATTTCACACAAAAAGTGACATGTTATTTCTTTAGCTAACCGTTTTTAAACAATCGCATGAAGTCTCCTTCTGAACACGCACAGTGTAAACGATGGTATGACGGTAAGATATCACAGTAAGGGATCGTTTTATACTATTAGATCAAACACATTATGTGTGTGAGCAGTATATAAAATCATGTTACCTACTTAAGGAACCTGATAGTAATCTCAATGCCCATAGCAAAAAGACTCGAAACTATTTCACTTAGCCATAATGCTACATTTATACTAAGAGAGGCTGTAGGGATACAAATATCTTGAACTAAAATATAAATAGTTCCACTTTTCAGGATATTTTCAACATAAATTACTACCTTAAACATACTTATTACATATTCGCCTTAAAATCTCTGTGCATATTTTCATGAATATCAATTTACTATCGTCACTAAACTAAACTAAACTAAACTACGCGGCTTTAGTCCGCAAGTGAACTATACCGACCGAGCGACCGCAGCTTGTGGGCGAAGTTTAATGTCAACCTTTGCGGATAGAGGGTTTCGCGTGGTCAGCGCAACGAATCCCCACGGCCGTTAATCCCAGTTTAGACCGGAGCCGCTATTGTCTTGAAATAGCGCTTCAATTATCCTCACGAGGATGAGTGGACCAATTTCTAGACACACTACTTCTCAGAAAATCTTGTAGGGCTGGGAATCGAACCCGGACATCTGGATCTGTTGCCAAGAACCCTGACCACTAGACCACAGAGACGGTCTCACTAGACTTACTTGGATTTCTCGTCTAACTAACCTTACCACAATGTATACTCACGTCAGCAATACATGTAGCAGCTCGCCTGCAAGGCCGTTGTAAAGCAGTGTTGTGTCGGCAGCCTCACAAATCGCTCTGAGAACGCAAGCCCGTCCGTCGAGGTTCATCCTGACCAACACAGGCATCATGTAGGATTGAGGTGCTCACAGCGTCGCTTATGAAGCCTTCTATCTTCTGCAATATAACGCAGTGCAGTCCGTTGGAAGTTAACCGACGTTTCGGAGGGATGTGCCACCTGCATCCAGCACTGCTTGCTACCTGCTTCACGCTTGTTTCTTTCTTAGCTTATTCTTCGTCCACGAAGAGCGAGGCATGTTTCTCCGAAACGTCGGTTGACTTTAAACGGACTACATGGCGTTATATCTCAGGAGACAGATGGTTTAAACACATATATTGATCATATATTTCAACAACCTGTTGCATTGAAGTATCCCTTGCAATCTTCCTTCTATAATGCAAAAATATCAATACATGCTTAGATGATATCAATCAACATTTAATTCACTAAAATATTGGTTAAAATGTTTAAAATGTCATAAAGCTATATGTACATCTGTGTTAATGCGCCATATTTCGGCCACATAGAGGAACACAAACCAACACAAGAGAGCGGCACGTCCAATGGGGCACAGTGTAGCCCCAACACAAAAGATAGGAAGAATAGATATCCTGTAATATCAAAATTAATAATAATAATAACGACGTACTTTAAGAGTATTGTTGATAAAGTGCACAGATTCATGAAGATGGTCCTGTGTGGTCGAAATATGTAGCCCATAAACACACACACATATATATAGTGTGACATGTTGACCCCTACCTCCCCAGCGGCACGTAGCGGTAACGTAGCGCTCGCGTAATAGGC